AAAAAAAAAAAAAAAGCTCATCATAGATGAAGTCCAGCCCTGCCCTAAGAGGAAAAAAACCCACAGAGCAATTCCAAAATTCACTAACACTACCTTCACTCAGCAGAGTTTCTGAAGCTGCCACCCTATCCCATTCCAAGAGCCCTAAGAGCCAGGCAGCCCTAGGAAGAACAGGATCATTTAGAGTACTGGACACCTGTCTGGTAAGGCAGCACCATGTGTAACACACTAGAAATGCCAGAACAAGGGCCAGAACCGGAGAATGAAAATAAATGAACACACTTATAGGTACATTAAAAAGCCAGAACCCATGCTGGGCTGGGTTTAACTTTGAGGGGACCATAGATTTTTCCTTGATGGAAGTTAAACCTGACCCTTTTCACAGTGACAGGCCACAGCATGTGAGGGGGTAGAACCAACAAATCCATTGTCTTCTGCCTGTTTGTGTGCAGTCCCATTCCCTCCTTAGTCATCTTCCCCGTCTACCTTTTACACTAAAACAAGGGAACACTCAATCTTTCAAGGGAATTACATATCTCAGTTAATGTTTCAGTATATCATTTTCATACTGTAAATTATTTTGTAAGAGAGATTTACTGCTGTCCCAGGATGTTCGGACTTGGCGCCCTGTGCATTTGGAAATCAATAAACTATTACTGGAAATACTATTTGTCTCTCAGAGTTGTGCACAAAAGGTCCTGCTAGGTGGAAATATTCATGATGATCTGCATACTTAACTGTGATGATGCTGGAGTTGATGGTTTGGGGTTAGTAGATGTGGAAACCTAATTTACTCCAGACTTTGCAGAGTACCTTAGGAAATCTCTGGAAAGTGGCAAAGGGTAGACCAAAGTGTTATTATTTAAAGACATATTTCTCTTTCAAGTAAAGTGTACCATGTCTAGATTAAATTTATGAGCAGGATAGATTCTAATGTAAATAGTATTTGTTCTTTGATGTTTACAAATAAAATTTAAAGCTTTACAACTTTGATCAGCTAAGAGAAAGGTCAAAATTTAATTTTTGCCATATTTTCTTCAAAAATAAAGCCCTTATAGAACAAATTACAGTTAATCTAGCAAAGTTCACTTTATAACTTTAAAGATACCTATTTGAATATAATTGATGAAGAGAAAGAATTTAGTTGTAAGTAAAGTAACTTTGGTCTGGCTTATAATATCTGGCCAGTGGTTGTATTGAAATGTGGAGTCATGTACTCAGAGGCCTTGGGGAGCCAATGTGAAGATCAGACACTGTAGAACTATATGGATTTGAATATACAAACCTGCTCCAAGGTACAGAACTTAATGTTTCAAATCCTAAGAACACCCACAGGTATGTTCGTGAACCCTGCTCTAATGTCCTACCAAATGTGTCTCTATTGACCCTTTCTGGGTGTGGACTATGAGAACTTGGGGAAAATTTTCCAAGTCAGGGTTGTAATTTATTCAAGGTCACCCAATAAGCAAGGCTGGTAAAGCCTGGGACAGCAGACTCTCTGTCTCCTAGAGCATTCTTTAGGTTCTGTTTCCTTCCCAGTTGCTGAGGACACCACCTCTGCTGGGGTTGGGGGGGGGGGGACATTGCCAAGCACTGTCACACTTGGTAGTCTTCAGCATTTTAAACCACAGTGTAATGAAAGGTTTTATCCCTGCTTTCTGTTGCCAGTACCTCAATACCACATCCTATCTCCCTCACCCTTCTCATTTTATTAAATAGCTACTTTTTAAATTGACCATTTCTTGGTCCAACTTACATATAGCCTCATTTCCTTTCCACTCATAAAAAGGTGACATTGCAGCTTGTCTGGAATATCTCCTGGTCTTCACAAAGCACCAGAGTGAGATACACTCAACAGAAAGTCAAGCTGCTAGGCTTTCAGTAAGAGAGACTGATGGTACAATACAGAAAACAAACGAGACTGCTTGAAGTTATTCAGTCGTTGCATTGAGTGTCTGTTAAATATTGCAATTTCCATTGTTGGCACATTTATTAACAATAATAGCCACCATTTAGTGAGCTCTTTGGGTCGGGCACTTTCCTAGTTGCTTTTCACATACTCTTAATTCTCAAAGCACTATACTATCGTCTCATTTTATTGCTCAGAGATCATAGGTTAGAGAATTAAGTACAATAACCAAGGTATATTTTAATAAGCAAAGAGCCAGGATTTAAACAAGGCCAACAAACTACAATATTTATTCTTCATTGCTCCTAGCCATACTGATTCCACCTGGTATTAATAAATAACATTATTTTCCCCCTGACAGTCCCTCCATATGATCTGTCCTTGAAGCAATTAAATTGTCCCTTTCCTAGCCCTTGCTTTGTACAGCCTGGAAAACAGGATACAATGAGGGAAGGAGGACTAAGCACAGCAATACAATCCTCCTCTGGCCTGCAACTGCACTTCAGGAAGGAGAAAACTGTTAGACTTGCTTTGCCTTTATTCTAAGGCCATAAATAATGGAATCACTAAGAGAGGCAAAGCTAGTACTGCTTTGACTGTGGTCTTAGAATCTGGGAAGTCAGTCAGCTCTGACACTGAGTCTGTAATTTAATTAAACATCATGAAGGTGTCTCCAGCATCTTCATGTTAGCCCAGCTTCCTATTCTTGGAAAGGGATGGCAGAAAAAAAGCTATCTGTTGTAAAGTTCCATGTCTGAGTTTAGCTCTGATGGCCACAATCTGCCATCTAAAAATAGATCACAACCTTCATCCAATTGAGGATTCAGTTGTCATCCATTTACCTAGTGGTCAGCCATCTGACAATTCTCAAACCAGATCCAAATGGTTCAATGGTGAGTAGTGGCATGGAGCTGAGAAAACCCTGGCAGAAGTGCAGCCCACTTGAAAACCAAAAGTGAGTCCAAGTAGGAGGTAAGAAGCCAAACCTCTGACCAGTGGAAATAAATACTAGAAAGCAAACATGAAAGACAAAGGCCATACAGCCAACCAGCAGGGCCCTATCCAGAACTTGTTTGTTCTCACTTCTCCCACAATTCTAAATGCTTGATTTAGTTTCCAAGTCTACAAAAGATTACATTTTAGGAAGACGAAGCAGACTTGAGAGACACTGAGATCAAGAAAAAAAGAGGGCGATAGTAATAGAGACGACAAAAATGTCAAGTGTACCAGAGAGGCTCCAGAACGACTGTTTTAAGAGGACACTTAGTGCCAAAAAGGTCTCACTGTATCATATTCAAAATAATGATCGAGTATCACACAAAGGATGCTCAAAGGCAATTATTTGTATAGTAAGCATTTTAAAATACTTATAAATGGTTTTTTTTTTTTAAAGGAAAACCTCCTTTGGATTAAAACAAATAAATTTGACTATCGAGAATATTTAGCTAAACAAAATGTACACCCCTTAACTGAGGTTTCATTGTTCTGTGAGCCTCTTGTGTTGAGAAAGGTTTTTTTTTTTTCACAGCTTTATAAGTGACTTTCATGCTACAGTGCTTTGCACATAATGGCATGAACAATGGAAGTGCCAAGTTTTCAATGTGATGAATAAAACTAATAAGCAGAATACAGGTCAAATTCTGCAACAACAAATACTGCTCCTATAAAAATCACTTAGGCATCCCTGTTATCTCTAAGCCCCCATTGATTGCCCATTTATTTTAGGCAATAGTCATTACAACAAAATTGGAGTGTAATAAAAAGAAGCTAGACCCTCACCACAAATTGAGTGTAACAATTTAACCTGTAATAACAGATTTTCATTTGTATTTCTCCAACTCCCTGCTGCAAGAAGAATAAACCTTAGGCTGACACTATACCAGTCTGGAAAACTGGTGGTGGTTGCTAGGAGAAGAAAGAATTCAGAAGCAAAGTGAATGTGGTTGTACGACAGCCCCT